CAGTTGGCTGTCAGCCAACCAATTTGAAATGCATCACCTGTTACCGGGCAGATCCCAGCTCCCCAGGTAGAAACCCCTTACCCAGGTAAGTGATGCAAGTCACATAAGCAGAGGGAGCAGGTTTCCCCCTCCCTCAGGAATGCAGCCAGCTCAAGTTCCCTAAAAAGACAGGCTGAGGGTGTGGTCCCCTGTGTGCTGGGCCCATCCTAATTGAATGGTCACAGCACAGAGATTTAAATCAGTGTCACAGGGCAGAGATTTTTGGGGAGAAACCAAGGTGGCTTTCTGCCACAAGGATCATCTAGTCCCACTTCGGAATAGCCTGCAACCTTGGTGTTATTAGCAGAATGCTCTAACCAACTGAGCTAAAGGGCTACTCACAAAATAAATTCAATGAGCATCAGCTGGCAGCTCCTTCCCACCCTGGCAGTTCTATCTAGAGCCACTTTAAGTCCATGGTGGGAAGTGAGGGGTGATGAACAAATCCTTTTGCAGCGCGATCAATAGGTTACAGTGGGTGTATCTACACATTCACCTGAACGCATATTAGCCTATTTTAATGCTCATTAAAGTCACAGAAAAACTGTCCACTTTCACCAATGTGCATTTAAATAGGCTAATGCACCTTTTTCTAGCACCTCACAGTGGAAGTACTAAATTTAATGCACATTACCAAAGGTGCATTAATGGATGTGTAGACATGCCCAGTATTTATTTGCATGCGGGAGCAGCAACAGCAGCTTGAGAATACAGCTTGCTTACCTAGTGCCTCCATCTGTATTTTAAATGTAATTTTTAAATCTGTTAAAGCCTCTTCTTATAAATCGCTGCTGCGTGTATCCAGCCTAATAGATTGTGCTGTGGCATGTGGCAGAGGCTATGGGACTTCGATAAAGCTTAGTGTTTTACAGCTAAATTAAAATACTAAATGGTTTCAAGGAAGAAGTTACCTAACTAGTGGGTGAGGACCTCCACAACCCTGTCTGCAGAAATTAAGGAAGCCCAGAGTGCTTTATGTATTTTAAAATTATATTACTTATAACTGTTTAAGAGTTCAGTGTTTAATCCTTTTAATGTTCATGTCCAATCAGTTTTTATTTAGATCAAAGGGACCTGCTCTGGCTGATATTCCTGCTACATTACAGAAGGCTGGAGCTGGGGCCTCTGAACCTCCTGGGATAGTGGAAGATGAGGAGGGGATGGCTGCAGTACTCACAAGGATAGCAGGCCACTGTAAGAAGAGACATGGGCGTGCTGCTCATTACTTCCTGATGCCCTGAAGGGTCAGTTCTCTGGTCAGACCTAATTTTCAGCCAGGAAGGTTTAAAAGGTAGATCTCTGACTGCCAGGAAATTCCGAACTAACTGATAAAGTAGAATGGTATGCCTGGTACACAGAGAAACAAGACTGCACATAAAAGCTTTAGAAAAGCCAAAATAAAAGAAACAAAATGGATGAAAAAAGCAGTAAAAGTATGATGTTCTGAGAAATTTCAGTTGTAATCATTTGAGGTTCTGTATGATATTGTCACAAACACTATGTATTACTGCAGACACTAAATGCCAATCTCAAACTTACTTTACACACTTTCATGCACTGTCCCCAATAAAGCCAGATAGATGCCTCTACAGAACTCAAATGCTAGTTGCAGTCTTCTCATTCAGCAAGGCTCAGACTTCTTAACTAAGGAGATCATGAATGAAAGGTTCCAACTTCACTTCCCCCCCTCTCCTTTCTGCGGGCAATTTTTAGCTATACAGATTATGGTATGAGATATTTGTTAAATAAATTGTTGTGCTCTCTCCTTATATGGCTATGCATTAGAATTGGACTGTGCATGAGCGATTGGAAATGAGGATTCAGAGGGTGGAAAAAGTCACAGAGTAGCAATCCACAAGAAGGGCTTTGCACATCCTGCTACAATGCAAATTAAAAAGTATTGCATGAAAAATTCCAGCTTGCATTATGTAGCACTGTTTGTTATCTAAAATCTCTTTCCTTTTCTTCTTTACTTGATTTCTTTCCCTTCTCCTCTAATAGAATATATAGACAAACTTTACCAAAGAATCTGCATGCTTTACAAACGCTTATTTTTTGTGGCTCCTTATCTATGCCAAAGCCCCCTCCCATTTACAACAGTCAACAGCATACTGAAGCAGTTTATAGTCCACATATGACAGCCAGAGTACACAGATCATCTATGGAATGCACAGCAGAACAGTGGGAAGGATCCTTAAGAGAAAGTTCCTGGCAATCCAGTTTCCAAAAGTTGTGTGTGATAACTACTGGGATTTAAAATTGACAGAGGGGCCCTAGGAGCTGTGAGTTGTCAGCAAGAGCTCAGTGGTTAGAAACTCAAACTCTGAAAGTTTAGTTGATGCTAATTTTTATTAAACAATACTTTGCGAGTCGAGGTTACAGAACACTACCCAAGCCAATCCAATTTAAAAACACTTTCCAACGTACCGTTAAAACAACAGCAATGATCTTAAATCCAATGTTACATAAGAAAGGATTTGAATAAGGATTTAAAAGCTGTCCAATCAGATGAAGACAGAAAGAGTTAGGAAAGGCCAGACAACTGTTACCATATGAGAACATGCTGGTTCATACATATCATAAGTAGGCTGACCATATGGAAATCTGGGATCCTGCCCCCATCACCCCCTCCCCTCCCACTCTCACAAGTAAGCAGGGGTGGGTGACTTCCTCCCCAGCAGGGGTGGGACAGTGGCCATCTGCAAGGTGCTCTGCATCGCTCCGAGTCCTGGCCAGACTGCACCCTGCATTTTTGGGATGACCCTTATAATTCCCAACTGTTGGCTGGGACCAGCCTCTGAAATCCAGGGCTGTCCCAGCTAAAATGGGACATATGATCACTGTAATAATACATTTGGCTTTCTGCTGAATAGCCCTGAATGAAAAGAAGTACGGTGACCAAAAATTTTACTCTGCCCTTCCAAGAATTAAACACTAATTTCAAAAAACAAACAAACCCCAAAATGAAGCACTGAGTCTGGTTTCACAGACAAAAGAAAAAACATTAAAAGAGTTTGTGAAGTGAAGTGGGTCAGATTGTCCTGAAACCATATTAGTAATGCACCTGCCAAGTTAAAGTTAGAAAAGACAATGTCAGGGGAAGGAAGAGTGTCATACTAGTAGTTTTACTAGCTTAGAATATGCATTGTAAAGTCTCATCTACTCTGGGTTTTCTTCAGAGAAGACCTGGGTAAGTGACTTGAGGTGGAAGATTTTGAATTTCCTATAATAGTTGATGGTGGGCTCCTGTTTGTTATACAGGTTGGTGATGTACTCTCACTATATAAGTTATGTGATGAAATCACTTGGCTAGCATAATCCTTTACACAACAGATGAAGATACTTATGTTATCCTTAACTGTATACTTTAATGGAGATTTGGATGGCTGCTATATTAACACTTCAAAATAATGAAAAAGAAAACCATATAGAATATTTTTGGAGTCCTTTTATGAAAAACATAACAAAGACCATAAAAGTGGAGAACCAATCAAAAATAAGTAGGCAGTTCAAGTTCAGAACACAAAAATATTCCATTTTAGCTAGCTTTTCTTTTTAAATGCAATTTTTACTCTGTTTGAATATACGATATCCCTTTATTGAAGTACTGTCTAGGTACAAATCATAGTCAAACTATACTTATGACTATTATTCTTGTCACATTTGCGGTCTTACCGTGTTGCAAGCTTATGGCAAACTACACCAGTGTCTGTTATGACTTCACTCAGTCTCAGTTCCAGGTGGACCTTCCCCTGAAATACACAATGAAAAAATGCCACATGAAAACTGTGGTATTACACAGGCAGCTGCAACTTTACAACTTAAAATAAAGCCTGTCAGCAATGTCAAAAATAGTTTAAATATTAGTTCACTAAACAATTATACAGCTAAGGTGCTATTTTTCCCCAACCAAGTGAAATCAACCCTCTCACCATTTAATTTAACTTCTGTAGATAACAATATTTGTCCTTTCCCATAGCTCTGGATGTTATAGCAACTCAGCAATACAGGTTCTCTAGTCTGACTAAGAAACTGAAATATCCTATTATGCCATTATCTAATTTTAACATATTGAACTTTACAAGTAGACTGCAGCACATCCATGGAGAACAACGCTTGCACACCAGCACATGATAAATTGGATTCCTTGGATCCTCACCCACTGGCTCCACCCCCTCAATCATCTCAAACAAAACTTCTTATCTAATTTTAAGGCCCTTCACACATGCACCTTCCCATATCTATCTTAGCTGTAAAACACAGATTCACCCTGTCAATGTAACCAGCCACTAACACCTGTCAGTCAGCTTGTTTTATTTTTAAATACACACACACACACCTCTGTACTTTCTCCCACCTTTAAGGCAAACTTTAAAAGAAAGGAGGCAAAACCCCCTGTAAAAATCCACAAAGTCACTTATCCTACCTTAAACCTTACTTTAATACTCACTACTGATACAGTGCTCATACAGCAGATCACTGACACTGGCTATATAAAACAGGGAGCTAAGACTGCTTATTGTACAGAGGGGCCCTAGGAGCTGTATTCTTTTTTTCTTTCTTTCCTCTTGTTTCTTCTCTACCCTTCACTGTACATCTCTCAGACAAACAGAAATAATTTCTTTTTAAAAGCATTGAGAAAGCATCAGTGGAGATGTAGGGAATACTTGAGAAAAATGCCCTTTCAGAGAAAACCCCAAGATATTGGAGTTAATGTTTTTACAGATATATTTCTGGTAACTTAAAGGAAAGATAATATTGTTATCTGAAGAGAAAGCAAAGAGTTCCTCAAAATGCTTTCCTGAACATACGTGGGTGGCTTACTTACAAGCAGGTTTTGAAAGGTAAAGTTCAAATTAGGTAAGTAAGATAACAACTTCTTTTTTAGAAACTGAATTTGCAAAGAGTGGTTTCAAACCTCACTGCAATTTGCAATTTAATTTATTAAAATGTTGTATTCTTTGTTTTTCTTTTATAAGGAACTGGAACACAGGCAAACATAAAAAAGTAACACAAGCCTCTGGAAAGCAACTCAGAGGTCACAACATCACTTAAAAAGGCAAATCCTATGAATATTCCCAGAATACCTCATTACTTCTAGTTACTAAACTCAGGCGTGGGTGTACCTTAATGTAAGGCTGTGCTAACATGCATGGCTGTTTAATTCACAGAAAACACAGCTTCCATGTAAACATCATGCTCTTCCTGGTGTCAGTTATGCCTTTAGGCAAAACCTAGGGACCCATCTAAATTAATATACCCTTGAGCACTGCCATTTAGCTTGCCTGCAAAATACTATATAATGCATCTCTTAAAGAAAAGCCAGAAAAAATATGTTGCAAATGCATTTTACAATCAGTTTATTTAATTATATTCTCCAGTTTGATTCTCCAGTAAAATATATATTTGTAAGTTTTAAAGAAACCAGAAGTTGCTACATTGCCTGTCTTTTGGCAATTTGTGACAAAACAAGTGCTATCATTAGTAATACCTAGAGGCCCCAATTATCACTAAGCTCACAGAAATACATTAGATATCTCTACAATAAAAATAGAGCAGGCAAATAAATGGCGGGAGCCATTTTACAAATGGGAAATCAAAGACACTGAAAAATTAAAGTGCCTTAATCAAGTTCAGATAGAAACACGAATCAAAATCAGATACCTTAAGTCCTAAATTCAGTGCCTTGGCTACAAAGGCTTTCATTCCTCTGCAGTCCTACTCACTGCACAAATACAGACAAGAAGCTATCAAGCTTTCAGAGTTGTAAGGCAGTTTGTGGTAGCTATTAGAAACAGTCACACTAAACCTATTCCAGTCTGTTCCTGAAAACTGGCACATTTACTAATAATACCCTTTATCAACATGTACAAGAGTGCTGTTCTGCGTCTGTAGGTACAACTGGAGTGTTTGCTCACTTAAATGCTGAACAGCAGCACTTTCCTATTCATGGATCGTATTCCTTTCGAACCATGTCTGGAACGCTGCAATAGACTGGTCAGGATTCAGTTTTCAGTTCTTCATTGACAGAACATTCTGCAGGCTCTCAGGACATTCATTTGGGTCCTATGGTCCAAGCCCCCTAAAGATCAACACCCGCCTTTGTTATCATACCCTTCTCTTGCAAGGTATCAGCCAGCAGCCTGTATTTGGAAAGTTTTTGCTCCTGGGCTTCAGCGAAATCCTGCTACCAATCTCATCTGACAACTGGTCATGTCAATAATCAGGATCTTGTTTATGATACTGTTATTAAACAGTACCAGACCCAGAACATACACTCTGGAGCCTCTCAGAACCACACTCAATACCCTCCTCCTTCCACTTAGCACAATGATCCAACCAATTACCCTATCATTTGCATATCATACCCCCTACACATTTCCCCCTAGCAAAAAAAAAATGAAGTGTGTCAACTGGATAAGCTGATGTTTTCCCTGGAATAAAAGCACTCTTCTTTGATTTCTGCTCCACCGTGCAGGAGTGGTGGCATGTCTTAGACAAAGACTTTATCATGGTAGCTGAGGCAATCAATTGACTTAATAGTTTCATAGTTTCTAGGGTCGGAAGGGACCTGAGCAGATCA